CACATATACACACACACACACACACACATATACATACACACACACATATATATAAAAATAATATATAAATAATTTATATAATATATATTATATATATAAAATCATTTTTATTTATTTATTATCCCTTTTGTTTTTTAATTTTTTTTATTGATTTCAGAGAAGGGAGAGGGAGAGAGAGATAGAAACATCAATGATGAGAAAGAATCATTTATCGGCTGCCTCCTGCACACCCCCTAGTGGGGATCGAGCCCGCAACCCGGACATGTGCCCTTGACCAAAATCGAACCTGGGACCCTTCAGTCCCCAGGCCAACACTCTAACTACTGAGCCAAAACGGCTAGGGCTTTAGTTATAATTTTGATGTGGTTGTGGAAGGCAGCAAGTACTGGCATTTACCTGCGTCACTATCTTGGTTCACTCTTCGAATATTCTGTTTTTTATTGATTTTTTAGAGAGATAGAAACATGGCTGAGAGAGAAGCATCAATCAGCTGCCTCCTACACACCCCCTACTGGGGTTAGAGCCCCCAACCCAGGCATGTCTCCTGATGAGGAATCAAACCGGGGACCTCTTGGTTCGTGAGTCAGCACTCAACCACTGAGCCACACTAGGAGATTTTTGATGGTTCTTTCAATTTCCTCACTGTTAGTCTATTTAGATTTTTCCAGTTCTATATATCTGGGGACTTACTCATTTCTTTCAAGTTACTAAATTTGGTGGTCTATTTTAGTGTGATCCTCTGTGATGTCTGTGGTAACTTCTCTTTCATTTCTCATCTTGCTTATTTCTCTTTTTGTTCTGTAATGAGTGTAGCCAGAATTTGTCAATTTTGTTAATCTTTTTATATAGAGGCAGCTCTGTGTTGCATTAATTTTTTGTATAGTGTTTTAGTTCTCCACTTCATTTTATTCTGCTTTAATTTTTCTTTTCTTCTGGAATTTGGGCTGCTTTTGTTCTTCTTTTTCTAGATCTTTAAGACTAATGTTGTTTACTTGGGATTTTTCTGTCCTGTCTTGACATAGGACAGTCACTCTTCTTTTTATTGCAGAAATCCTCCAGGATGCTTTGGGTCCTGGCTGTACTCCACTGTGCTTCACAGGAAGGTCCTCTCTCCAAAGTCAAAATGAGGTCCTTTCTCTTTTGTAGTACATGTTTAGTTACCTCACGTCCACTTCTTTGCAGATATCTTTCTCGAAAAAGGTTTAGTTCCCATTTTCCACTCTGAGGTCAGCTAATGATGGTTGCCTATGAATGACATGATGTTCTCTGCTCTGTCCTTAATAGGCCCCGTATACACCTTTTCTTACTGAATTGATGTACCAGAATCTTAAGATGCTGATTGACCCTGTTTCTGTCCAGGACAAGGACACACTCAGCATCCACTACCTCATGCTGCCCCGTGTTCGGTAAGAATCTAATACAGCCCTGGCCAGTTACTCAGTGGTTAGAGCATAGGTCGACACACCAAAGGGTAATGGGTTTAATTCCTGGTCAAGGTCACGTATCTGGGTTCCAGGTTTGATCTTCGGCCCCGGTTGGGGTACGTGCAGGAGGCAACATCTCTCACATCAATGTTTCTCTGTCTCTCTGTCTGTCTCTCTCTCCTTTTCTCTCTCTCTTCACTGCCTCTCGCTCCCTCCCTTACACTCCCTCCCTCCTCTTCCATCATCATATCTCTAAAAAGCAAAGGGAAAAATATCCTTGGTTGAGTATTAACAACAAGAAAAAAACAAACAAACAAACAGAAGAATCAAATATATGTAAGCCTCACCGGGACCATGGGAAGGGAAGTTGCCAAAGATGCACTGGTGTGGGGGCCCTAGCTGGCCCCTTGGTTCCGTGCCTCTCACCTGAGCTGCTCCTAAGGGTACAGAATAGGTAGAACTGGGGATGCTCAGTGTGAAACCACTTATAGCGCTGCAGCACGTGTGCTGTGACCAGGTTGTTCGAGTCACCTAGGGGAGCTGCTGGGTACTGACCAGGAGACTCTAGCTTGCCGCCTACTTCTTGCCATGTACCCCCAAGGCCAGTGCACGCTGTCCTTCCCCAAGTGCCTCACCAGTAGGCCTAGCCACACCATCATATCTTTAACCTGTCCCTCTTTCTTATGTAGGCATGCCTATTGTTTGGGATTTTTTCCTTTTTTTTTTTTTTTAAATACAATGTGATTTATTTATAAATGAGAACAAATTAACAATGAACACTTTCAGAAGTTGAAAAAGGACACCAACAGTACTAAATACATAGGCTTTTAATTTTCTTCAAATTCGGAGTTTTAATTATACAAAGATGAGTAGTCAATTATGTAACCTAAAAATATTTACTTATTAAACTATATTAATACTTTCAATAAACTATACAAAAAGATAATGAGACAAACATGTGCATTTATAGAATTGCATGTCAGTCATGCCAGATCCCTGTGAGGGAATTCCCAACACGACCTCATTCGTCTGTGAGGACACAGAGTAATTCTTGTTTAGACATACACATTCATTTACTTGTCCAGCCTGGTCAGCCCTCCACTGCTTGATGGTTTCCTTCCGCTATGAGTGTGCATGTCCAGTCGTCTGCTTCTTAGGGCAGACATTTACCTTCCTCATCCACCAGCCATTGGAGGAGGACTGGGCCACGCAGATGGTTAATTCGACCCATTCTTCTGGGAGGGTTTCCTGGGGGCCCTCTTCCATCATCATATCTGGAATCAGATGAGTTTCCGTAGCCTCTTCCCTTTTTCACATTTTGCTGAAGCAGAGTTTTGAAAAACAAAACCACAAACTCAGCTATTTCCCAGAAGACATCTGTTATCAAAGATAATCTCCATGGAGACTGACTCCTGCTGTCCAGCACTTGTCCGTTCACGATGTAGACCATCTTGATCCTCGTTCCCCTCCTCCCCGGGATTTTTTCCTTTAAATTTAATACCTTTTATTTCCCCGCTTCTTCTAATCAGAGAGGAATTGATTGACAAGAAAACTGAGAGTGCAGTATCTAGAATGCAGTCTGTGATTGAACTTGGGCGAGTGATTCGTGACCGCAAAACTATTCCAATAAAGGTTTGAAATTTTATTTATTTTACATTGCACAGACCTAAATAATTATGTCTTTGAGTATTTTCTTTGTATAGAGAGCTTCCAGCAATGGCAGTTTTTATTCATTTCTACAGTAAGGGTATGAATGACTTAATACAAGTTGAGCCTAGTTATTCTTTGAACCTGACATTAGATCAAAACATTTAACGTTCCATTTTTCTCTGGTTGTGAGGACTGGCTGCTTAGTGAACTTGTTCTTATCTTTTCCTCCTAGTATCCTTTGAAAGAAATTGTCGTTATCCATCAAGATCCAGAAGCTCTCGGTGATATCAGATCTTTGGAGAAGTATATTATTGAGGTAAGGCATGTGATTTGTCCCTGGGTCTAAGCAGACTTCTTTCATTGAGAAGATTATTTTGATTAGGACTCTCCAATAAACTACACTTTGAGTGTATAATTTATCCTTTTTTATTTTTTATATACATAATTTAACTCTGAACATTTCCTTGCTGCTAAGAATCATCAATTTTCACATTGTTATTTTAATTCTCTATAAATTATGTCAAGGTTGTCCTTGCAGCTCAGTGGTTAGAGTATCGGCCTGCGCACCAAATGGTTGTGGGTTCAGTTCTCCATTCCAGGTCGAGGGCACATACCTGGGTTGTGGGTTTACACCCCACCCCTGGTCAGGTTGTGTGTGGGAGGCAACCAGTTGATGTGTCTCTTGCATCGATGTTTCTCTCTCTCACTCTCTCTCTTCCTCCCTCCCACTCTCTGAAAAGTAATGGAAAAAAATATCCTAGGTTAGGATTCACACAAACACACAAAAAGATTTCAAGGTCAATTAATTTCCTTGCCTTAATTGGATCATTTATACCTTCATCCACTTCTCTTCCCTAAAGTACTTGCTGATAATTAACAAAAAAAACTTGGTTCCTTCAGATTATCTATGTGACAAGTGAACATGTGGTTTGTAAACAGTTCAAGCTCTGACATAGTCCTTCATATCCCATTTGCTCCCTGCACTCTCACCCCTCCTAAGCCTGTTCACTAGGCTGTCTTCTGCCAGGGTTGTTCCTAGCATTTTATAGACCTATTCACACAGTAAAGTGCATCTCAGGTTAGAACATACAGATGTACTTTCTTTTTTTTACAGCTGCATCATGTTCACTTTCTGGCTGTATCATAATTACTGTCTCTCCTATTGTTGGAAATTTAGGTTTCCCATTACAAACAAAAGGTTTGTGTGTATCTTTGTGCCTGTGTCAGAGTATGGACCTTGGATAGATTGCTAGAAGGGAAGATTTGAGGTCACGAGTTTAACATATTGTCAGTTATCCTGTAAAAAGATTTTATTCCATGATGATTTAAAAATATATATATCATATTGTAGAAAATCCTATATAATAAAAGCCTAATATGCTAAGTGTCCAGTCGTCCATTCAACCAGTCAAAGCGTAATATGCTAATGATGTGCTAAGGCCACTCAACCACTCACTATGACATGTACTGAACACCAGGGGGCAGACGGTCAATGCAGGAACTACCCCCTGGTGATCAGTATGCTCCCACTGGGGGAGCGCTGCTCAGCCAGAAGCTGGGCTCACGGCTGGAGAGTGCAGTGGTGGTGAGAGTGCCTCTGAGGCAGCGCTAAGGAGCAGGGAGCAGTCGGGCAGTAAGGAGCAAGGGCTCCCAGACTGCGAGAGGGCACAGGCCAGGCTGAGGAACCGGACCTCCCAGAGTGCACAAGTTTTCGTGCACAGGGCGTCTAGTATTATAATATTTACTAGGGGCCCAGTGCACGAATTCATGCACCTTGAAAGGAACTGTGGACCATGAGGCTGCAGTGGGCACAGGGGCAGGTCTCTGCCCATCCTCCGAGCCACTGCCTGATTCCTCTGCCGTGGCCCTCCAGTCCCCTGTCTGAGGGCATCCCCGCTCCTGCTGTCCCGCTTACACCTGCTGACAGCATGAAGAGATTGGGGCCAGTGCCAGCAGCAGGTGTGAGCGGTGGCTGCTGCCCCAATTGCCCCTCAGGAGCAGGGGGAGGTGGAGAAGCTCTCTCAGGGGTGATCAGGGCCGGCAGCCGCCACTTACACCCACCGACGGTGCCAGAGCTTCTGCTTGCATTCACTGCCAGCACTGGCAGCAAGTCTGAGCACCGGGCGGGACTGTAGCACGTAGGAGCAAAGAATTTTCAGAAACCACCATAGGCTTGCCCTGATGACAGTGACCAGTGCCCCACCTTGGTCTGGTGCCCCTGCTCACCTGCTCCACCATCCAGCCATGGCCAATGCCTGCCTTGTTCTGTGCATGCCCGCTCGTGGTCAGCACACATCATAGCGACCAGTTGTTTGGTTATTCAGTTGTTCGCTGTTCAGTTTATTTGCATATTAGCCTTTTACTATATAGGATACTGGTTTTGAATTGCTAGAGAATTACAGAAAAATATTAGAAAGTAAATAGTTATAAATTTTGTAAGTAATGCTTGCAGGTGTGGATAAAAATAGAATATATTTAAATAGAACATCTTAATCACTATAATAAGGTCATGTAACACAATTATGTGTAATGGGAAAACTAGACACTTCCTTACAATTTGTTTCAGTCACATTTTCTGTGCTGTCATCAGCTCCTGTTGCATTAGTGATGTTGAATAGCTTGATGGAGGCATGAAATGTTTTGGTTAACTGATTCTGCTTATTGGTTAACATGTGGTGCTCTGAAATGGCTTGAGCAAAGGTTACCTACCCTTGAGAGATACAACCTTTTTCTAGAGTTGTTTTTAGTTGATTTTATGCTCAACTATTTTGACTGAGCAGGACAGGAAACGTCTTTTTTATACCTTTCATTTCAGTGGTTTTTAGTATGAATTTATAGAGTTGTACAACTAGTCACCACAATTTTATAACATTTTCATCGCCACATAAAGTCCCATATCCTTTAAATTAATGCACCATTTCTCCTCAACATTCCACCATCCCTGTCAGCCACACACCTGTTTTCTGTCCCTGGACATTTCCTATAAATAGAATCATATGATACATGGTCTTTTGTATCTGACATCTACTTTATTCATGTTTAGCATGAATTAGTGCTTCATTTCTTTATATTTAATATTTAATAAGAATCCATTGTATGGATAGACCACATTTTAAAAATATATATATATCTTTATTGATTTCAGAAAGGGAGGGAGATGGGGAGAGAGAGAGAGAGAAGCATCAATGATGAGAGAGAATCATTGATAGGCTGCTTCTTGCATGTCCCCTATTGGGGATTGAGTGCACAACCTGGGCATGTGCCCTTGACCAGAATTGAACCCAGGACCCTTCAGTCTGCAGGTCGACACTCTAGCCACCGAGCCAAACCAGCTCAGGCTGGATAGACGACATTTTTTTATCTGTGTTCACAGTTGATGGATATTTGAGGTCCGCTTTTTGTTTAGTGAATCATTTTATTGCTGTCAACATTTGTTTGTCTATTTTGTTGTTGTTAATCTTCATCTGAGGATATTTTTCCATTGATTTTTAGAGAGAGTAGAAGGGAGAGGGGGAGAGAGGGGAAGAGAGAGAGAAACATCAATGTGAGAGAGACACATTGACTGGTTGCCTCCTGCACGTACCCTGACCAGGGCGGGGGAACCTGCGATCAAGGTACATACCCTTGACCAGAATCAAACCCGGACCCTTCAGTTTGCAGTTCGATGTTCTATCCACCAGCTCGGGCTGGATAGACAACATTTTCTAAGCTCTGTTCACAGTTGATGGACATTTGAGGTTGTTGTCCACTTTTTGTTCATTGTAAATAATGTTACTGTCAACATTTGTGAGCAATTTTTTGACATTTGTTTTATTTCCCTGGTTTTTTCATCTTGTCTACCAATCATAGGAGTTGAATGTTCAAAAAGTTACACTGTCTACAGATAAAAACAAGTATGGTATTCGCCTAAGGGCAGAGCCAGATCACATGATCCTGGGGAAGCGGCTGAAGGGAGCCTTCAAGGCAGTGATGACATCCATCAAGCAGCTGAGCAGTGAGGAGCTGGAGCAGTTCCAGAAGCGTGGTGAGTGTCGTGGATGGAGTCTTGGCTCAGGGAGGCTTCTGCTTGGCATTCACTGTCATAAACTTCAAGAAAAACGTTTATTAGAAATAATTCTGATAATTTAGAAAAACTTAAAGAAGGCAATAACAGTGACCCCTAACTCATCATCCGTTCATGTAATGTAGATGCAGTGCCTTTTCTCTGCTGTTTACTATGTTAGGTGCAGCCCTAGCCAGTTTGCCTCAGTGGGTAGAGCGATGACCTGCAGACTGAAGGGTCTTGGGTTTGATTCTATTCAAGGGCACATGCCTGGGTTGTGGGCTCGATCCCCAGTAGGGGGCGTTAAGGAGGCAACTGATCCATGATTCTCTCTCATCAGTGATGTTTTGTTTTGTTTTATTTTTAAATTTATTTTTTTACAGAGAGGAAGGGAGAGGGATAGAGAGTCAGAAACACCGATGAAAGAGAAACATCGATCAGCTGCCCCCTGCACAACCCCCACTGGGGATGTGCCCGCAACCAAGGTACATGCCCTTGACCGGAATCGAACCTGGGACCCTTCAGTCCGCAGGCCGACGCTCCATCCCCTGAGCCAAACCAGTTAGGGCTCATCAGTGATGTTTTAATCTCTCTCCCTCTCCCTTCCTCTCTGAAATCAATTTTATTTATATATATGAAATCAATAAAAAATATACACACACATATTTTAGAGGTATATAATATGTTAGGTGCTGGAGCACTGTTAAAATTCTGATTCATTTCCTTTTAGTTACATAGAAACAGATCACACTGTAACTTTAAATTTTGTTTCTCATTCATTTTTGCATTTTGTTTCCCCTTTTTATTTTACTTTTTTTAAAAATATATTTTATTGATTTTTTAAAAAATATATTTTATTGATTTTTTACAGAGAGGAAGGGAGAGAGAGAGAGAGAGAGTCAGAAACATCGATGAGAGAGAAACATCGACCAGCTGCCTCCTGCACATCCCCCACTGGGGATGTGCCTGCAACCAAGGTACATGCCTTTGACCGGAATCGAACCCGGGACCTTTCAGTCCGCAGGCCGACGCTCTATCCACTGAGTCAAACCGGTTACGGCTTATTGATTTTTTGTGGAGAGAAAGGGAGAGGGATAGAGAGCTAGAAACATCGATGAAAGAGAAACATCGATTAGCTGCCTCCTGCACACCTCCTACTGGGGATGTGCCCACATCAAGGTACATGCCCTTGACCAGAATCGAACCTGGGACCTTTCAGTCCACCGGCCGACGCTCTATCCACTGAGCCAAACCGGTTAGGGCTTATTTTGCATTTTTAATAATATATTATGAACTTTTCTAAGTGTTTATTTTTAAATCCTATTTCAATAACTGTCTAATTTGCCTTCATATTGATATCTGATAATGGTTTTAATCAGTCTTTTATTATTGGTACCTTATGTTTTTTTTTCATTCTTTTTAATACTATGTTATATTTCAATGAATATTTTCATGTGAATATTTTGTGAAATTGATTTCTTTGTACTAAATTTCTAGGTAGAAATTACAGAATCAGATGGTTACCATTGAATTCTACAAATGTTAATGTGGGCACACAAAATCTGCCCTCGTCAAAGAGAAAGCAGAACCCTTGGGGGTGCTATTGGGAGGAGGTGGGGGAGATGATGACTTAAGTCAGAACCTGTCAGTTTCCCTAAAATTTCTAGAATTCACATACTGGTCTCTTAATTGGCCAAGGCTGGCTCTGTTCACTCAGAGCCCTTCTGTTTGGGTGGCACTGGCAACATAGAGTTTAATAATAATAAGACAGACGTTGTCCTCACCCTCATTGTGCTGGTTGACGTGGAAGACATATGGAGGTAATTGTTGAAAGTGCTGGGATGGAAACCTGTGGGACACTGAGGAGTTTAGGAAAGGAGTCAGCTCTCATATCCATGGGTTCAGAAGTTATCGGCTCTGCTGTGATTAGAATCATGATTGGCCTCTTTACAGCCACTTAGCATCTGCAGCTGTCCGGGGATGCAAGGTTTTGGAAGTTAAGGGCTCCCTCTAAAGTTGAAAATCATAAGCACAGAAGTGACATGAAAAGATATTTAAAGACTCAGCTCAGATGAGTGATGATGGAAATTGATGGAAATGTCCTTGGATTCCTCAAATTGTTTGATAAAATTTATCTGGAGGTCTTACATGAGAGGCTAGCAACTAAAAGTTGAGTCATAACTAATTTAACTTGATATATTAAATTAATAAAATCTTTGATCATCTTTCCAGTTGTGAATCTAAGTTGTTTTATCAGATAGCCAAAATATCAAAAATTTCTGAAATACATCATATTTGAAACCAAAAGGTGGCCATTTTTAAACTGTAGTTTCTGAATAGACTGATCTGCACTGATGGAAAGCAAAATAATTTTGAGATCCCAGTGACAGGAAGTGAGAATGGCAGCTCAGTGCTCAGAGACCAAGAACATGAATGGTAACCACACGGGCTTCCTGAAGATGGGAATTGCCAGCCTTGGTGGTTCCTCTGCTTGGGCTGGCAGGAATTACACTGAGAATATCATATTGTTCACCTTATTTAACCTACCTGATGGCACACTGCTCAGCACACAATGGGACCGAGGCCCTACCATCATTGAGGGGTGGGCCTTCATTTGATTTGACTCTAAAGACTGCACCCTTCATTACATCATGAAGTCTGTATTTAAGGCGGGGATTCATGGCCTCCTGGCATGTCTTTGGACCTGGGAGTTTACATACAGCCATAGACATTGGGTCAGGAGGACTTGATATCATGAAGCCTCTGTAGAGGCTACAAGTATTTTGTCAAAAAGTGGCACAATGTACTTGTAGCAGGACAGTTTGTGGAGGAAGAGGGACTGATTAACAGTGGCAGTTGCATCTCTACTAGGGTCCATTGTTGTGGAAGGCCATGAATTGCATGAAGATGACATTCGTCTTATGTACACCTTTGATCAAGCAACAGTTGAGACAGCCCAGTTTGAAGCACACTCGGATGCTCAGGTATTTTTCTGTGCCCTAGAGCATTTCTTGATCAAAAAATAAGATCATAGTGGAGAAATTATACTGTACCTGTGCCTTTCCTGAAAGTGTTATTAACAGCTTGTGTTGGTGTTAAACAAACCAGTTATTCATTTTAAATTGGCTTATTAAACTTCTCTATGATATGCTCTTTACATATGCCTTTTAACCAGTGCATAAATAGATATTTTGTGACTTCTACATGGGAGTACTTGTCCTAAGTATTGGGTCATACTACAAGGAGTTAGATGTTACCCCACTCTTCAAGGAATAAGCCAGTCATGGAGATAGGAGAGTGAGCCACATGTTATTCTGCCTGATAAATTATCTGGTAGAAATAAGTCCAGAGAAGAGCTCCTATCGAGTGTGGGTAGATGGCTAGGGAGTGCGGGCAGTTTTGGATTCTGGGGTCAACATTTTTATTGTGATGGAGCACAGCATCTCCTTTCACTCCTGATCAGACTTCTCGGGGTAGATAGGTTGTTGGGGCTCCACTGTGGGAGTGGGGGCTTGATGGAGACCTTCTGTGGCTACCATGCCAGATGAGGGGAGGGGAGGAGTACCTTGTCTGAAGAGGCCAGCCTCCTCAAGCCTTTGCACAGGGCTTAAGCTAGTTGTAGACAACATGTAGGCAGACTGGTGCAGAGCCAAAGGCGAGGTAGCCAGAAGGGCAGGGAGGATTGTGAACACAGCGGGTGCAGTCCTTCCGGGCTCCAGCCAATGGGAGGGAGGGCCTGAAGTGGTCAGTGTGGGCCCACCACCCTGCCTGACTCCTCATCCATTTCCAGTGCTGACTTCTGCACCTTCACAAAGTTTAACTTCTCTGATTGAGTTTCCTTTACGATAAATGGTGATCTTACCTACTTTATAAGTATATTCCCCTCTAATAGAAGTGATACTTATCTTAGTACATCATCATTAACAACCTTCAGAATAGGTGAGAGAGAAAAGTAGACAAAGTTGACAAGAAGGTGGCAATTTAAACTCATATAAAAAAGAATTGTGTCCATTGTAGAAATTGCTTCTTGAATCCCACTAATAAACCAAAGGATAAAAAGGGGTCATGGCTTAAGAAACTGGAAGGTACTGCCTTTAATTCATTTGTTGTGGTAGATCCATTTGAAAAGCTGTTCTACAGGCTTTATGACTACTGATATTTTTATTACAAGAGTTGGCACTATTTATTAAACAGACCAAAAAAGCAGAGTTGAGAGACTAACAGACCAGTCTCACGGTCTCCTGTGAGCACACCCTGCAGAAGAAAAGGGAAAGCTGCCCTCTCTCCAGATATGAAGGACCCTGGTTACAAACAGGAACCGAACTATAAAGAAACTAGATTAACTGTGTTCTTTGCTTAGTTTTGTGAATAAATAGTGCTGCATGTTAGACTTCTCAGAGCTTAGTTTTAAATAGCATTTTGCTGAATTTGAAAGAACTGTTTTTGTCTATTTGATTGTCATGGTATGCTCTGTTCATTCCTGCAGGCTTTGGTTCTCTTAGATGTCACCCCTGACCAGGCGATGGTGGATCAAGGGGTGGCTCGGGAAGTCATCAATCGCATCCAGAAACTTCGCAAAAAGGTTTGTCACATTGAGAGTAAGCTGCTTATTTGAAGTTTTGTTTGTTTTGTCTTATTTGTTGGGGAGGTTGGGAGAGGTAGGTAATGACTTAATGAACATGAGTTCGTTCAGCTGGTCCTCTACAGGAGATGGGCCCCCCTCCCTGCTTATTCACTCCCAGGCTGGATGCGGGTGTTTTGTTTCTCTGACTGGGAGCTTTCAGCCAGCGGTGCCCCTTGTCCTCCTTTTCCCACTTCCCTGAGCTTCCACAAAACCATCTTCCAGGTCCATAGCCCTCCTGGCGGGCGCAGAAGGCCATAAGAGGGCCATTGTGTGAGAGGGGAGGTGCAGTCACATCAGCATCAAAGGGCTTCTGGCTCAGGGGAGGTAGGGTTGTATCTGGACAGAAGGATTGATCCTTCCTTATTCAGAAGTTGGGAGCCAGGACAGGAGGGCTGAGCCCATTGCCTGCCCTCACCAGGTGAGGGAGCCAAGGAGCTGTTATCCCTAGGAGGGCACCCACCGGCCCTCCTCGTGAGGCCAGGTTTGAAATCTGTAGTTTAGGGTCTGAGGAGGCCACTTCCAGCAGAGAAACAGGCGCGTGGAACTCTGGGCTAGCACAGAGCTCTGGGAGTGGCTCTCACTGCGCCACGCTTTTGCCTTCGTTTCCCAGGAGAGCAGGACGAAGACTGGTCCCTTCCACGATGACTCAGCATGGAATTGTCAGCCCTTCTTCAACAGCATCTTACCTGCTGACTAATCAAGTGCTTCCCATTTTACTTTTTCTATATGTGCTTTCAGTGCAATCTGGTTCCCACTGATGAAATAACAGTTTATTACACAGCAAAGTCTGAAGGAAATTATCTGAGCACCATTATTGAAAGCCACATGGAGTTCATATTTGCCACCATAAAGGCTCCCTTGAAACCATATCCAGTCGCTACATCAGATAAAATCCTTATTCAGGAAAAAATGCAGGTGAGTTCTGTGGAACTATTAAGAGATTTAGTTATAGATTTTAGTTAAGTTTATGTGCTCACATCTTGATAATTCTGTCTCCCCATTAGCAATGGCTCTGGATGACAGTCAGGAGGGTCAGGGAGATGACGTCCAGAACAGGAGAGGGGAAGGAAGGCAGGCAGGAGTTACAGTTGTGTCTGAAACTACAGAAGTCAGTGTCATGGGTTCTGAGAATTACTGTTAAACTGCAATTGACTTGAAAAGCAATTAACTTTTAAGGTAGTAGGTTATACATGAAACTAAAATTTCATTTCCTGTTGGTACATTTTAGAGGTGACTGGAAATCTGATAACAAGGCACAGCCCGAAGTTGGTCATTTATAACAGGGGAAGAAAATCTGTCAGTAATTTTTTGAATCTTTTGCTTCCTATGTTGTTCTGACTTGGTATAGGGCAAATAAGATAGACAGGTAAGGGCTAGAAATGACTGTCTTTTCAGTGGGGCAGTTTACAAGATGGTTTCATTGTCTATTTTGTGTATATTTTTAACACATTGTTTGCGGGTAGTTTTTATCGCGTGCTAACAGGTGGCGCGGGCCATTTTTGCTAATTTTTTGCGCAAATGGCAACGTTCAGTAAAATTACGATAACTTTAGTTTTACATATTTTTTTTCAATGAAACTTTTTGTGATTTACTATAAAATGTATGCTGAATTATTTTTCTTAAATTTTAAACAGACAAATACTGGAAAACTCACTGTAAATTGAAATAAACGTAATAAAATATGTAAAAATTCCGAAACGTATAAATATGTTTCCCGCATACAATGTGTTAAAAAACAAGGTAAAAAGAAAAGGGGGGAATATAGCCCTTGATTGTTTTATTGATGGGATTGAATAATCTCTCAGAATTGTAGAAAGTTCTTGCTCTTAAAAAGAAATGGTTGCTATGTTATTTGTGACCCTGTGGTCAGATGCTGCAGTTACACAATCACTTCTTCCTGTTGCTCAGTTAAAGGGGTCTGACCTGGAAATTACACTCACCAGGGGATCCTCCACACCTGGCCCTGCTTGTGCATATGTCAATCTTCACATTTGTGCAAATGGCAGTGAGCAAGGTAAGAGTAGATAATTCTATGGTTTGTATTTTATTTTTTTACTTAAACCTATGAATATCTTTGAAGCAATTATAATAGAACTAGAGGCCTGGTGCACAAAATTCGTGCTGGGGGGGCGGGCCCTCAGCCCGGCCTGCACCCTCTCCAATCCGGGCCCCTCGGGATGTCCGACTGCCTTTCACAATCTGGGACCGCTGGCTACTACCCGCTGGCTGCCTGCCTGCCTGTCTGCCTGCCTGGTTGCCCCATCCCCTCTGCCTGCCTGTCTGATTGCCCCTAACCACCTCTGCCTCGCACCACACCTGGGACCCAGGATTCCCTCCTCCGGCCTGTCACAGCAGGGGACTATGGACAGGCGGCTTCATTGGGCCGCAGCCGCAGGCACCCGGAACCGCTGAGCGGACGGCTTATCCCTCTCCCGGGCCGCAGCCTGGCTGGTCCCCATTCCTCTCTCTTGACCTCATTTGTGCCTGGCTGGTCTCCATTCCTCTCTCCCCGCTTGTTGAATGTCTGAGCAGTTCCAGCGCGAGGGTGTGATGACCATTTGCATATTAGCTCTTTATTATATAGGGTTGGTAAAACTGTATAAATTTTTCTTTTTAATTGTTATCAAAATGAACCCACAGCATGTCCAGCATGGCTCAGTGATTGAGCATTGACCTATGAACCCTTCCTCTCTGAAATCAATAAAAAATATATATATATATTTTAAAATGAACCCACAAAAGCTGAGTGATATAGCTCAGTTAGTTGAACTTTGTCCCATGTACCAAGAGGTCACTGGTTCGATTCCCCATCAAGGTACATGCCCAGTTTGCAGGCTTGATCCCCAGTAGGGAATGTACCAGAGGTAGTTGATCCATGTTTCTATCACCCTCTCCCTTCCTCTCTCAAATATCAATAAAAACATTTAAAAAAAAGGAACCCACAAGAGTAAATTTCTAGACCTGCACCACTAGGATGATAGCGTAGATGTACTTTTCCCTATTCCTCCAACAAAGTACAGCTATAAACACGCATCATTATAAAAATCAACATGAGGAGACTGTTGTACTGTCCCAGCCTGTCAATAACCAAGGGTATTGGTAGACCAGCCTTTTGACTCTTACTATGATTAAGACACCCTTCAGCAATAACCATCAGGAACCTGGGAATATGCAGATTTCTGACTAACAAAACCTAGACGTTACACGGCACACATGGGGCCACACAGTAAGGTTGTGGGGGCTGGGTTATTGGTGAACTTAAAACATAAGCGTGGGGATGTAAAGCATTGGAAGAGAAAACAAGTAGCTCAAATGTCAGTTATTGAAGTCAACCACGATCCCTAAAACAAAGGAGCCGCAGTGCAGGACCTCAGCCTGGCTCTTTGTCCAGTCAAGTGGCTGGCGATGTGTGTGTATTGGACGTAGCTGTCTTTGAAATGGACTCCTAGGCAAACAAAGCTTAAGCTTAAGCTTTGTACTTGCAGTACAAAAAAGAAAAACTGCAGCTTACATTTCCAGGACTCTTACAAGGGAAGGGAAGAAGGCACACCAGCCAGGGACCTAGGGACCAAGCAACAAAACAGCACTGTGTTCTCTGGGTTTTCTTTTTGCCTCATATGTATTCCAGACTTGGAGTTGAAGAAGCCGGCAGTCTGGAAATGCCAGTGAGCATGAACAAGCGCTCCGACAAAATCCTGCTCTCTCTAGATGAAGGACCAGGAGAGCAGCAACCCAGCAAGTCGGAAAACTTTTAGACAACTGTTCTCTTCCCGTGAACATAACAGAACATTTGTAACCTCACTACTACTCACACGCTAAGTGGGGAGCCTAGACTCCTGCCTCTGCCAAGCTGAGGAGCTCCCAGCCCCACTGCCATGGTGGTGTCAGAGAAGACCAAGTGGGAGCTCGGACTTCCGTCCTACTCAGGCATGTGTACTAAGGCATGCCTGAGTAGGTAATGAGGCCACATACATCCTGACAAGCTATCATTGAAGGCCATTTGGGGAGCAGTGAGGAGGCCATTCAACTCTTTGTAGCCAGGAGGGCTTATCACTGAATGCCAAGAGAGAAGTGGGAACTCCCTTGTCCCCATACCCCAGCAGTGACAAGGAGTGTCAGTGATAGGAAACCTGGACTTATCCTCTCACTAAGCAGCAATGAAGCAGTGCCAGCTTTCCCCTGACATTGTGATGTCAGACAAGCTCAGCTAAAATGGATTTAACTAAGAGCCAGCTCATAAAACCTACCGGGTCCAGGTTTTTACTGAAAATTATGCATCATACCAAGAACTGAGATTTTTTTTTTTTTTTTTTTAGAATAAACACCTTGGTTACCTGAGCTAAGATGGGTGGGAAGAGGAGTCACTTGCCTTTCTGGGCTGTGACTTTCCTGATAGAACTGCAGGTCCTTGCCCTCGGGCACACAGCCCTCTGGGTGGCCACACCTGCCTGGTCTGGAGCGATGCAGGCAAGGAGCTCGCCTGCTGGCACTGCTCCTCCAGAAGACTGCTGATGATGGCATTCTTTTCCCTTCCATCATATTTCTAATGAACTTTCTGTCATCGTTTTTTGTTTAAAAACTTCCTCTTCAGGAGTCAGCTTGGCCCCCTTCGTGTGGCCCAGGGGCAGTGCCCAGTGGGACTCGTTCCACTGTCGGTACCGTGTGCTGTCCGCGAGCACGATGCAGTTCTGTACTAGGGGCTCGGTGCGGACCAGTTTGTTGCTGGGTGCATTGTAGACAACATCAGTCATCCTTGTTTTGCGTGTACCACACTCTGAGCCCCAGGAGAAGTTGTCCACGTCCAGCCTCAAGGCTCGTCCTTCTTGTTGCCTCCCAGCTCGGACTGTGTCTGCGGCGAGGTCCAATCTTAGTGTGGCAGCGGGGTGTCCCAGGTCATGTTTTCGCTTCTTGTGGTAGGGCTTTCTCGTGCCCCCAGTCTTTCGGCGCTTGTGCCAGTTGTCCCGAGAGATGCCCATGGCTTGGCACCGGCTGGAAAGAGACAAGAACCAGAAGATCTCAAACTAAATGAAAAAAAGCAATCACTATATGTGAATGAACATCAAGATAACAGAAATGTTAAAATTATTCCACAATAGAAAGCAGCCATAATGAAAATGTTTCCCAGAATAATTGCAAACACAATAGGAAAAAATGAAAAGTAGAGTCTCAGCATAGAAAGGAAAAATCAAATGGAAATTTTAGAACTTAAAACTATTACTAAAGTACAAAAATTCAGTGGATGAGCTAAACAACAGTTTAAAGGAGATGGGAAAGAATCCGTGGACTGGAGGATATAATAATAGAAATCACCCATTCTGATCCACAGAGAGTAAAATAAACTTGGTTTAAAAGAAAATGGCCCTAGCCAGTTTGGCTCAGTGGATAAAGCGTCAGCCTGCAGACTGAAGGGTCCTGGGTTCTATTCTGGTCAAGGGCACATGTGGGCTCAATCCCCAGTAGGGCGCGTGCAGGAGGAGCCAATCCATGATTCCCTCTCATCATTGATGTTTCTCTCTCTCCCTCCCTCCCTCCCTCTCCCTCTCTGAAATTAATGAAAAAGTTAAAAAAAAAAAATGCAGCCCTGGCCATGTGGCTCAGTTGGTTAGTGTTATCCCGTGCACCAAAGGGTCCCTGGTTCGATTCCTGGTCAGGGCACTAATCCAGGTTATGGATTCAATCCCCAGTTTGGGTGCCTATGGGAGGTAACAGATCAATGTTTCTCTTTCTCTTCCTTTCTTCTCTTTCTAAATAAAAATCATCCTCAGGTGAGGATTAACCCTTTGCGGTCGTTTGTCTACTCTCAGCCACCAAAGCTTTTTTACCGTTCCGGTCGTATGTCTGCTCTCAGCCACCACAGCAAGGAACCGTATGAATCTTAACTCTATTCATTCATGTATCAGTTCATAATTTCTCTGAAAGCTCTTAAGTGTCTAAGCGACCTTGTCACGAACCAAAACATTGCCCCGACAAATCGGAGATATCGAAACTCAATATAAACAAACGCGGTCGTTCCACACTCGCCATGCAAAACACCGTGGCGAGTCAGTTGCCTTTTGAGAGTGAAGAAATCGACAAGCTTCGGAGATACTTTGCAAAATTTCAAATAAAGCTTTACAAATTACGTTTAACTGTAATTAGGCATTCTCGCTTGTTAAGATATTTCAAAATAATACTCCAAAATGGCAAAAAGAAAGTTACCGAAAGAAGTGTACTGCGAATCTGAAAGTAACGATGAAGAGTTTTATTTTGGCACCTTGATTACTGACTCTGACGTAGAAAGTGATAACGTTTGTAGTGATTCTACTAGTAGTGACGTAGTTCCAAAAAAGAATTAATAAATCTTGTTTATCCTTCATAATCTTGCATGTTATGTATCACTGCTCTTTCTTTTTTTTTTTTTTTTAATATATTTTATTGATTTTTTACAGAGAGGAAGGGAGAGAGATAGAGAGTTAGAAACATCGATGAGAGAGAAACATCAATCAGCTGCCTCCTGCACATCTCCTACTGGGGATGTGCCCGAAACCCAGGTACATGCCCTTGACCGGAATCGAACCTGGGACCCCTCAGTTCGCAAGCCGACGCTCTATCCACTGAGCCAAACGGGTTTCGGCTGTATCACTGCTCTTTCAATGGAAATTAATTCCGACCAGTACGACACCCATGTCCAAATTTAATACGACCTCAAAGGGTTAAAAATGACATAATACTAAATTTAAAAGGTTTTTTAAAAAGGCATTGGAAGAAAGAGATTCTTTCTATCTCCAGCTGTGTGGCACTCTGTTCTTCTATAATCCCCACAGGACATGTGAGGAAATGCCACTGAAGTGCTTCTGGCTCATCCCACTTATGTTAAATACATCACACCCAGGACTGCCCACGCGCATCCTGAGAGCGTATGGTGTACGCGCTCAAAAAGAAAGAAAGGCCAGCTCAACACCCTGTGCCCTTCACTTTACATTCACATTTACCTTTTTCTTCAGACTTACTTATATTTTTGGCTTTTTAGGTGGAGTACTGCTTCTGGAAAATCCTAAAGGCGATAATCGGTTAGACCTCCTAAAGCTGAAGAGTGTTGTTACCAGCATTTTTGGTGTGAAGAACACAGAGCTGTCGCTCTTCCACGGGGAAACAGGTGTGTGGAAAGCTAGCCATGGCCTTTGACACAGGTGGAGTGTGTGAGTCAGGCCGGCTCTTCAGCAGTGCCTGCCTGTGCATATGGCAGCAAGAACACCATCCTTATCAGGAGATGACGGCTCCCCCTACTCTCTCACCTGTTAGCCAGGTGCAGGATTCTGAGCTTCACAAACTTCCCTAGGGTGTTTTAACTTTCTTAAACATAGTGTCTGCATCTTGCTAAATCCAGATTCTCGGTAAGATAAGCCTAAATAGAATTTTTAAAAGTTGTAAGTACATTCTCTCCCACTGTCACAGGTTGAAATGTGAGACCAATCCACCAAAAACAGAAAGAAAGCAAAAAGATACATTGAAGTTTTTACCCATAGTACCATGGGCCTTCTTTGCAAATAGGGTCCTTGCCGAGGTAGTTAGATGAGGTGCGCTGGGCCCTATTACGTAGGACTGATATCCTTGTGGGAAGACACAGAGACCTTGTGTGACGACAGGCCTAGACTGGAATTGTGCAGGTGCAAGCCAAGAAACAGCGAGGATTGCTAGGGACTTCCAAAGCTGGGAGGAAGGGAAGGGTTCCCCAAAAGGCATCAGAGGGAGCGAGGGCCTACTGACACTTGATCTCAGGCTTCTTGCCTCAAACTCTGAGACAATAAATTTCTGTTGTTTTAAGTCCCCTAACTTATGTTTCTTGGCAATAGATGTAGGAAACTAATAATACTCATTTTATGAACCTGAATGCTTATTTTAGAAACCTTTAAATAGCCTAAAAGAGAAAATCTAAATGGGCAGTAACTAAAAGAATACCTGCTGAACCTCAGTAGTAAAAACCACAGTGTGGTACTATTACTTGATACCAGATTGGCAAAAACTAGAAAAATTTCACAGCCTTAAACGTCATCAAAGGTGTTGTGTAATAGGAACTCCCATTCCCTGCTGGATTGTAAATGGATAGAACCACCATGGAAGACCATGTGCCATCCTATCTGTCAGGGGCTGAAAAAGGGAAGCAGAAGTGATGAGAGAGAGAAAGCCAGGAAGTAAAAGTCTGGATGAGGGCGGCTAGTTGGAAGATCGGAGAAAAATCTGTGACCTGGATCCACCCAGGGCGTCTGATTAGGGGGGCTGGTCCTGCCCCTGAAGTCTCTGGGATGAGAAGTAGAGGTCAGCAAGGACAGGCTGGAGCTCCTCTGTCGGGCACATCTAACACTGGCAGGCCCTGCAGAAGCAGCTTGGCAAGCGAGTTGCTTGTGCACCTGGCCCGGACGTTGGAAGAGCACAGGAGTGTAGGCCGCTTGCTGTCCCCTCTGACCCTGTGAGTGGCAGTCCCTGAAAGCTGAGTGGTGCCTGGGCCCCACATTGACCTTAGGAAACAGTGGCTGTAACTAAAATCCTGTGCACCTTTCTCTGGTCAGCCCTAACCCAATCCAGGACAGTCAGAAAGTTCTGGGAAGCTTTTAGCTTAGCTAAGTGAGCAGAGTTAAATCTCCACCGTCCACCCCTGTGATTCAGGCATCTATACGTGGCTCTGTAAACCACGTCTGACTTCCAGACAAAACAGTATTTTCCATCTGAAGTTGAGAATGTGAAAATACTGTTTCTGATCCTTGGATGCAAAACCCGTGTATAGAAAGGGCCAACTGTATTTATTGAAAAAATCTGCAGTCTTACCCATTTTCAAGAGTCGGCTATACAGGGAAAAAACTAAAGGGAAACAAAATAGTTTGCATTTTAGGTTGTGAATATTATGCCATTTATTTTGCACCAATAACATTTCCTACTAATTGCGTGTGATTTTATAGAAAAGGCAATGTCCTTTCATAAACAAGTAGAAAGTATCACTGTAAAGATACACATATGGAAAAGTGAATGACTTCAGGTATATAAACTATCTGCCCCTGAAAGAATGATGTCTTTTACTATTTTTTCTTATTTGTAGAAATACAAAACCAAACCGACTTACTGAGTCTTAGTGGAAAGATGCTGGGTGTGACTGCAGGACCAGCTCCCTCTGTGATTGACAGTCCTGGTACTCTTCTCTGTCGGTATATCAACCTACAGCTCCTGAATGCAGACCCACAAGGTACATGCCTTCCCTAGTTGTAAACATCTTCAGCAGGTGAGTGGTGGGGTGTTGGATGGTAAGGTTTCCTTTAATTTTCAACCTCTTTTACTTGTGTGGATTTTTCACATTGGCTTTAATGTACTAATTTAAAGGAACACACACAGGCTTGTTTCTTTTGCTTTATTTATGTAGAAGTACTCTCATCCATCTGATACGGAAAGGAAATGAGATAAATTGAGTAGGTAAAAGTTACAGCTAAATCTGAATTGTTTAAATGCCAACACATTTTAATCCAGCCTTATTTTTTCTTCTTGGAAAGTGTTTTGAAAACTTAGTTTTTTCCAGTTGTTTGGTGTTCTCATTGTACACATTGTTTACTGAAGCCTTCAGGCTCTTTGTTATGCATTTGCTGAATACTTCTTTTCCAAGCTGCAGGGATTTTTATACTGATCGGTTTTCTTTTTCTCCTTCCCCTTTCCCTCTGGGAGATGTTTGAGACTTTTCTGCAAACTGTACAGCTGTCCCACTGGCACCCTACACTCAACGGCTGCCTTTCCAAGCCTGCAGCAGTCCCCCCTCCGTTAGGGATGCCGTAGCTTGATGGTGTTGACTCTCGGGGTTTAATCCAATCTGTTCTTCCTTCTGTAGAGTGTTTAATGGGAACAGTGGGCACCCTCCTGCTGGAAAACCCACTTGGGCAGAATGGACTCACCTATGAAGGTCTTCTGTGTGAAGCAGCCAAGATGTTTGGCCTTCGCAGCAGGAAGCTAAAGCTGTTTCTGAATGAGACTCAAATGGATGGTGAGATTGTAGAACATGCTAAATTTTTGTTTTATTCTTCTTTTGTTGCATTATTTTCTATATGAACAACTGTAAACCTCCTTTTGCCCCACCCTGTATATGCTTCTAGGAAAATTAGCATATTCTAAATTTGCTGATTCTAAATTATTCTCTTCCCCAAGGATTAAAATGATCCCAGTATTTAATTTAATAAAAGCGAAACATTCAAATTGACCGTACCTTCGCTACGCCCCAAGTCATGCCCACCAGCCAATCAGAGCGACTATATGCAAATTAACCCAACCAAGATGGCGGCCGGCAGCCACAGAGCTGGAGCAAGCAGGAGGATTGGTTGCCCCAGTGATGGAGGAAGCCAAGCTTCCAGCCTGCCCTGGCTGGCTGTGGCCTCCGCTAAAGGCAACAAAGTTTCAGTTATAGAAGATAAATAAACCCCAGATACCTGCTTCCAGCCAGCCTCCACTGGGAGCTTGGGTGGCTGGGGGCCGTGACCAGCCTGCAAACAGCCATCAGCCCCTCACCCAGGCTGGCTAGGCACCCCAGTGGGGACCCCCCACCCTGAAGGGGTTGTGGCCAGCCTGCAAAGAGCCATCAGCCCCTCACCCAGGCTGGCCACACCCTCAAGGGGTGAGTGTCCCTGCTGGGGGGCTTGACCAGCCTGAAAATAGCCCTCAGCCCCTCACCCAGGCTGGCCAGACACCCCAGTGGGACCCCCACCCTGATCCGGGACACCCTTCAGGGCAAACCAGCTGGCCCCCACCCATGTACCAGGCATATAATAAAAAGGATAATATGCAAATTGACCCTAACAGCAGAACGACTGGGAATGACTGGTCACTATGACACACACTGACCACCAGAGGAAAGACGCTCAATTCAGGAGCTGCCCCCTGGTGGTCAGTGCGCTCCCCCAGGGGGAGCTCTGCTCAGCCACAAGCCAGGCTGACGGCTGTCAGCACAGCAGTGATGGCAGGAGCCTCTCCCGCCTGCTCAGCAGCACTAAGGATGTCCGACTGCATCTTAGGCCTGGTCCCCGCTGGCAAGTGGACATTTCCAGAGGGCTCCTGGGCTGCCAGAGGGATGTCTGACTGCCAGCTTAGGCCCGATCCCCTGGGGAGCAGGCCTAAGCCAGCAGGTGGACATCCCCCAAGGGGTCTCAGACTGCGAGAGGGCACAGGCCGGGCTGAGGGACCCCCCGAGTGCACAAATTTTTGTGCACCGGGCTTCTAGTCTTATACAATAAAAGCCTAATATGCTAAGCGTCCAGTCATCTGGTCGGCCATTCAACCAATCAAAGCGTAATATGCTAATGATATGCTAAGGCCGCTCAACCGCTTGCTATGACATGCAGTGACCGCCATGGGGCAGACGCTCCAACCAGTAGGTTAGCTTGCTGCTGGGGTCCGGCCGATCGGGACTGAGTGAGATGGGCCGGACGTGCCCTGTAGCCCTCTCGCGGCCCCTCTCCAGCTAGCCAACCTCCCACGTCCCTCCCCAGCTCCAATCGTGCACCGGAGGGGTCCTTTGGCTGACCTGCGCCCTCTCGCAATCTGGGCTGAGGGACACGCCCCCCCCCCCCAGCTCCCTCCCCGCGGTGCATGAATTTCGTGCACCCGGCCTCTAGTTGTCAAATAACAGTGGAAAGTTAGAACTGACGTGATTGCCTAGCACACTTGCTTTTCAACCTGAAGGACTCCCTTTACCATGTTTAGTAAAAATGAACTCCCTCAACTTCTCTTTTTTGGGGAATGCTTTAATTATTTCTTCTTAATTTTGAAGAACAGTTTTGCCAGATAGAGATTTTGTGTTGATAGTTTTTCAGTATTTTAAATATGTTATTCCACTACCTTTGGCTTCCATGTTTTCTAATTGGAAATTGGCTACTCATTAGTATCCCTGTCATGTGGTTTCTCTTTTGTTGCTTTCAAGATTTGGTCACTATTTCTTCAAATGTTCTTTCTACCTTTTCTTCTCCTTCCAAAACTCTCATAATTTATATGTTAGTCTATTTGACTGTGTTATTTCAAATGTTCTATTTCAAGATCACTGATTTTTCTGACTGCTCAAATATGCTATTCACTAGTAGCCCCTCTTGTGAATTTATTTCAGTTGTTTTACTTTTCCACTCCAGAATCTCTCTTTGGTTTCTTTTATACTTTCTCTATTGATATTCTTAATTTGTTGATACATTGCTTTCTTGGATTTCTTTAATTATTTGAGGCTTCCATTGGCCTTTCCATTGGTTTGTGGTTTTCCATTTAAGAGAGTTACTATAGAGTGTAAGTTCAAATATTTGCACTTTCTAAAGGACAGATTCTGTCTATTTAGCTTTTCCTCTGACTGTGCCATAACTTTCCTGCTTCTTTGTATGCCTTGTGATATTTTTTATGTTGAAAATTGGACATTTGAATATTAGGCTCTCCCCCTCCCCAGGGTGTGTGCTATTTCTGATTTTTTTTTTTAAATTAATTTCAGGTAGAAGAAGGGGGAGGGAGAGAAGGATCGAAACATTAGTGATGAGAGAGAATCTTTGATTGGCTGCCTCCTGCACACCCCCTACTGGGGATTGAGCCCACAACCAGGCATGTGCCCTTGACCAGAGATGAACCTGAGACCCTTCAGTCCACAGGCCAACGCTCTATTCACTGATCCAAACTGGCTAGGGCTATTTCTGATTTTTGAAAGCTGTAATTGTTCATTTGTTTTATGGCGAAGACTATATTCCTTGTTGTGTGTAGTCTTTGCAGTCTCTGTTCCGTTAGCTTGTTTTCAGCTACTGCTTGACAGATTATCTTGACCCCCAGGAGCTAAAAGCATAACAACAAAATACCCACCTCTCTTAGTCTTTGGAGATTGGCTTGTGATGGGCCACTCATTCAGCACAGCCAAGCTATTTACAGCTCTGCCTCCGCCTTTACTTTCTGTTTGCACTGAGCCTAAAGAGCAGCCAGACTTAGCCAGAAAAGCCTTTTACCTTTTTCAGAATTGAAAACTTTGGGTCTTCTCAGGTGTTTTCTGTCTATACATCCGGGCCTGGACATGCATGTAGCTTTCTGAAATTACTCAGGATGCACGGGCAATTGTTAAAGCCCCAATTATCCAAACAATCTCTCTCCTACTTTTCCTCCCAGGCCTTAGACAGCCTATGTATGTTTCAGTGATAATCTTTTATTCCACACAGCTGTGGGGTTTTTGTTTGCCTTATAATGTTTTTAAGCAATACCTACCACTTTCCACCCTGACCGAGTTCCAAGTTAGGCAAAACAGAGACAAGTGCCTTATGTAAGCCCTTCATAGAGGTTAGAACAAACACAGTATTTTTGCTCTGTTTCTCCTAGAAATAGGTGCCAGGGTCCCACACTGGGCACATGGGCTGCTGTCATCAAGCCCACCACCAAGACAGCAGGTGACGGCACACACGCTGGTATCTTTGGCCTCATTTTCACTGTATTTTTTTTCTCTAAAAATTGTCTTTCATAAAAGATTAATATTTTGGTAAATAGAAGGATCATGTAATGCTCACAGTTTTAAACACTCACTGATGCCCTCCTGCTTGTTCCACTAGATTCTAAATATCATCTCCAGATCCTGGAGTTACTATCTGTTAAGGAGGCAGCTTTGAGAGTATTTTTACATTCAGGATTCCTGCTTGGACAAGAGCCATTTTTAAAGAAAGTTGATTTCTTCTTTGAATTCAGATCTGGGTAGAAGCAAAATGCAGCAGAGTAGGCAAAGAGCTTTTTAAACTTTTCTTTTGTCACTGAGTTTTTATATATTGGGTGTTAATTGCATTTGTGTTATACTTTGGATACTGGAATTTTTTGTCTTTGGGCATATTGGGTCCTATATTCTTTGACATGAGCTCTTCAGTTTTGGAAAAGTTCCTGTTAGCAGTGTGGTTCAACAAAACCAGTTCTTGTTTTCTGGCATTTCCTAGGTTTACCATGTACTCTTATTCCCCCAGACCTGGAAATAGCTTTTCTTCCCATTACTGGATGTTAATATTTATAAACCACAAATCTGGGCCACTGGCTTGGTTTTGTTCTAGGCCTTTTCTGTGTGTCTAGGAAATGCCTGTGGTGTGATATGGAGGGAGGGGTATGAGGACAATAGGGGCAATGCCCAGCATTACTTAGGTGGAGGCACAGTCCTTCATAAGTTAAACAAAGAATGAGCCCTCAGCTATAAGTAGTCAGGGGTCCAACTACAAACATGGAGGGAGGGCTTCATACAGGGCCTCTGTCACTTCTGGCACCAACTGCAACCTCTCAGGTTTGACAATATGTTAGCAGGTTTCACAGAACTCATTGGAAGTGTTTGCATTCATGACTACATTTACTGCAGGGAAAGGAATAATGTGTAGGGTCAAATAGGAGAGCTGTGCAGGCGCAGAGCTTCAGCTGTCCTCTCCAGGAGCATAGACGGGGTTTCCTTCTTCTGACCCTGGTGCCTGCCAGTGTACAGTGGGCTCCCACACAGGGAAGCTCACCCTTGGTGCCTTGCTTTGTATTGAGGCTTTATTACATTGGCATGATTGAGTCATTGCCCACATGGTTGAACTTACTTTTACCTTGAATTATGTGGTTGATCTTTCTGGTGTCGCTTCCAACCCCCTGAGTCAGCTATCTCCCTTGCATAAATTATCAGGTGTGATGAAAGGTCAAATCTCTCTTGGGGTGAGGCCAAATTTATTGCTTACTCAGGCAGCTGACATTTTTATGGTATGTAGAATAGGAAGAAAATTTATTTATTTTTAATCTCTTTTCGCTCTAGAAATTACAGAAGAAATTCCCCTGAAGACTTTGAACACGAAGACTGTGTATGTTTCTGTATTTCCAACAACGGCTGACTTCTAACTTTCTGTTATCAGTGTGGTTCAGTCAACCTTTCCCTACACACACACACACACACACATTCATGTATTGAAAATAATCCTTTCAGGTGCATTTGGTCTAAATGTGCTGCTTTGGGTCTAAATGTGACGTGGCATTGGTTCATCAAGTAGCTTAAAACCTCACAGCAATATTCACATTGAACCTTAAGCACCTATGTAGTCATGTTGGGAGAAGATTGCAATGTTACCTCAGCACTAGAGTTTATTTCTGTACTTGAATTCCTTAAGTATAGAGGGAGAAAGTTATTAAAATGGCATAATGTTTATCCTTTTATGGTCTTTTAAAACCTTGAGGAAATGGATAATTATCTGGATTTCCTTGGATAATTTGATGGAATATGTTGTTCCATTAAAGCAAGAAAAATAACCAAGCTTTCTCAGATAATAAATATGTTAAAAGTAATTCATTCTCCCATTGTTTATTGAAACTTGAAATGTATAATCTTCAAAAAACACAAAAACTTAATAGTGACTTCTGTATTAAGACAGTGGGCTAAGTTGGTTAGAGCATCATCCCAGTATGCCAAGTTTGCAAGTTTGATCCCCCATCAGGGCACATAAAAGAATCAACCAATGAATGCATAAATGAGTGGAACAACAAGTCTTTCCCCCCTCCCTCCCTCCCTCTCTTTAAAAATCTTTTTTAAAAGATTTTTTTTTAAATAATGTACTAAATAAATATCTCATTTTACTTCTTCCCAAAACCCTATGTTTACAGATGCCCAAACAGAATTAGATGTGTTAGATTTATTGGGGGAAACACATAAGGGATAAAGGGGGACGGGATAAAACATAGGTAGAAGAACCCTTCAGGCTATAATTTAGGTTTGACACCATGAAAATTTAAGAAGAAAGAAGGAAGATTGATTAGAGAAAGTTGAGACTGCATTGCAACTCTCAGAAAACCTTGATCAGGCTAATCAAGAGTCCCTAGGCAAGGATTCCAAAATAAAGAGTCCAGATTTGGGTAGCTGTTCTCCCCGTGTCCGCCTTATCTACAGGTGTGTTTGTTTATGGTCTCAGTTACACAGTCAACTGTGGTTCAAAAATAATTCGTAAGATTTTTGTTTGTTTTTAAAATATATTTTTATTGAATTAAGGGAGAGGGAAACATCGATCAACTGCCTTCTGCATGCCCCCTACTGGGGATTGAGTCTGCAACCTGTAATCCAAGCAGTGGCCTCGCAGTGTGTGATAATGCACAAACATGAGGCCGAGCCACACTGACCAGGGCCATAGGTTCAAATCCAATCTTGCCATCTGCAACACCATGGATGGACCTACTGTGTACTGTGCTAAATGAAATCAGAGCGAGTCAGGTATCATATGATTTCCCTTGTATATGGAATCTAAAGTAATCAGAAATAGAACATTTTGATGGTTGGGGGTGGGTTAAAAAGTATAAATTGGTAGTTACAGAAGAGTCACAAGGATGTAAAGTACAGCATAGGGAATATACAGTCAATAATGCGGTAACTGTGGTGCCAGTTGGGTACTAGACTTAGGGTGATCACTTTTCAACTTACATAAATGTCTAATCATTGTGTTGTACACCTGAAACTAATATAATATTGTATGTCAGCTGTAATTGAAAATAAAAATTATTTTTTTAAAAATCAGTTTTAAATTGCACACAGTCTGAGTAGGTGATGAATCTTGAGCTGTTCTTCATCCTTTCTGGTATGTGAATCATCCCTTTGTTCAGAATATCCATCCATGTGTTAGACGCTACCTGCCCATTAGAGGCCAAAAACTAGTGGCACAATATTTTGTAAGTAAGGGGGGGAAAAAAACAAAACAAAACTGTGAACTATAAATTCCCTGTACTTCAGTTATTAAAGAGTAAAAAAAGATACTTTCAGACAATTGGAACTAAAATAATTTGTCAATGGAAGACCTGTTAAAAATTGGCTAGAGGAAGTTATTGAAATAGAAAAGGAAAAAACCTTGAAATACCAACAGAAAGAGCAGAAATATGGTAAATACAATGAATTATCCTTTTCTTAATGAGATAACATCTGATATTCCAATCAATGATACTTAAAAGTGTGGACTTAGCCCTGGTGAGTGTGGTTGGGCATTGGCCTGTGCACTGAAAGGTTGCTGGTTCTTGAGCCCAGTGACCTAGGCAGGGATGAAGGACAGAGGTGTGGCCAGTTTTTTGACAATCAGCATTCCAAACAGAGAGCCATGGAGCCTGACTACCTCTCCTCACCCTCCCAGAGCCATCAGCAGGCCCCAGAAGAAGCTATAGCAGTGAGGGATGGCGCATTATCTGAAATTTTTTCCCTGAGTGACAGGCACAATGTGACTAATCCCCGAGTAGGTTGGAGACATGGAGGTGATGCCACAGATGTCTGCCAGTCAACCTTACTGGGAAAGCAAAGCAACAAAGGAAGTGACCAAATTCTCCCAGCTCACCCCACACCAACAGATGACAGCTTCTCTGTTGGCACCATCTGGCTAAAGTGGGCAGCACTGGCATTTCACGGATTCGGAACCCCAGTGGCCACTACATTCCCCTGGGGGATTTGTTTTTTGAGACCAAGATGACCAGAGCACAGAGGAGACACATACCTTCTATTGGGACACAGGTGATTTTCCACCACGCACATACATCTGAAATGCCAGAGGTGCTAGAGACTTAAAGATCTTGCTTCAGCACCACCACCTGTAAAGCAATAAGAAGACTTTTTATCTATTAGAGGAGTGCCATTTACACATAGATATCTAGAGAGAGGAGGAATCCATCAAATACCATGAACAACCAAGGTAACATGGCAGCCCAGGAACAAAATGAAAATTATCCCAAAAATAAAATCATGGAAATATGTGATTTAAGTCAGCGGTCGCCAACCTTTCGGACCTCACAGACCACCGGTTGGTGACCACTGATTTAAATGACAGAGAATTCAAGATTTTAGTTCTCAGAAACAAGATACAAGAAAACAGGCAGTTAAATGAACTCAAAGTCAACTAACTAAATTAGTACTTTACCAAACATTACAACTTTTAAAAAGAACCAAACAAATCCTGGAGATGAAGGATTCAATAAAAGAGAAAAGTGAACTAGTAGGCATAGGAAATAGAGCTTATCAAACAGTTGAGAACTTCCCAAACCTATGGAAAGAGCTAGGTCCTTGAATCCAAGAAGCAAACAAAACACCTAGTTACCTCAGTCCAAAGGCCTTCTCCAAGGCACATTGTATTAATACTGTCACCAATGATGAGGTCCTGGCCAGGTTGCTCAGTTGGTTAGAGTGTTGTCCCAATACACCAAGTTTGTGACTTTGGTCTCCAATCTGGGCACATACAAGAAGCAACCAATAAATGCGTAGATAAGTGGAACAACAAATCAATATCCTCCCCCCATCCTCTCTCAAATCAATAAATAAACAAAATAAATTCATGACAAAAATTCTCAAGGCTGCCAGGAAAACGAACCTATAAAATAAATCCCATTAGGTTATCACTAGACTTCTCAGCAGAAACCCTACAAGCTAGAAGAGAGTGGGACCAAATATTCAAACTACTGAAAGAGATTACCAAACTAAGGATAAGATATCCAGCAAAGTAATACTTTAGATAGGAAGGAGAAATAAAGACCTCTAGACACACAGAAGCTTAGGCAATTCGCCACCAGAAGACCTCCATTGCAAGGAGTTTTACAGACATACAGCATAGGGTTAATTTCTGACAAAACAAAAGCGGGAGATAAAGTTCTGAGCTTGCAAAGAAAAGTGAAGATTACATGCGTTCAAAAAAACGCACTATATATCAAACTTTTTTTTCATAAACCTAATGGTAACCACACAAAACCCCAAAGGAGAGACATAATGAATCAGAAAATGTATGGAATACCACTTAATAGAAACACTAAGGGAAAAAAAAAAATCAATGGAGGCACAGAGCCACGAGAAAAAAGAAAGTGGCCAGCCTGGGAAGTGTGGCTCCGTGATTGAGAACCTATGAACAGTTCAATTTCTAGTAAAAGCACATGCTCAGGCCATGGGCTTGATCTCCAGTGTGGGTTATATAGAAGTCAACTGATCAATGATTCTCATCATTGATATTTCTATCTCCCTATCCCTTCCTCTCTGAAATCAATAAAAATATATTTTTAGAGATTACAAATGGCATGGAGTAAGGGGATGCTACACTGATATGCTTCCAGGACCAAACTGGAATTGTAACTAAAATACAAAAAAAAAGCCTGACTGGTTTGGCTCAGTGGATAGAGTGTCGGCCTGCAGACTGAAGGGTCCCAGGTTCGATTCCGGTCAGGGGCATGTACCTTGGTTGTGGGCACATCCCCAGTGGGGGTTGTGCAGGAGGCAGCTGATCAATGTTTCTCTCTCATCGATGTTTCTAACTCTCTATCCCTCTCCCTTCTTCTCTGTAAAAAAATCAATAAAATATATTTAAAAAATAAATAAAATAAAAACAGCCTGAGCAATCAATTGAAGACCAACTGGAGAGAACCCTGATAACCAAGCATGGAAAGTGGAGACCACACAGAGACTGGCCGGAAGGGTGGAGGTGCAAAAGGGCTGGCCCAGCTCCCACACAGCACCTGAAGTTCTGGAGAGAGATCTCAGCTGGGGTCAGGGTGCCACTGAGAACTCTGGCATCTAAGCCCTAAGCTGCTCCCCCACCCCACCCCACCACACCCCAGCAGAGAGCATCAGAACTGAGAAAGGTGCCCACATAACCTCTGGCTGTGAAAAGGAGCAAGGCTGCTGTCTGCCAGGGAGGGACGGCTGGAAATTCAGGCACCCTCTTAAAGGGCCAACACGCAAATCCTGTGTACAGCCACTTATCTTGGGCTCCGGCAGAGGGAGGGCAGAGTGGACTGGAGCTGTGTGAGTAGAAGCAAGGGTTAGGGGCTTTGAGGTTAGAGCTCAGAAGCAGACACCCTGATTTCCTGTGCTGAGCCATTCCCCTCACGCTGTGGAGGTCATCTTTCTCAGGCAAAAACCGTCATCCAGTCAGTTTTTGCATGGGGTAAGGATTAGCAAATGAGATCCAGCGATATATTAAAAAATTACACACCATGACCAAGTGGTATTTATTCCATGGATGCAAGGTTGGTACAATATTTGCAAATCAACAAATGTGATACATCACAAAGAAATTTAAAGACAAAAAGCACATGATCATATCAATAAATGCAGAAAAAGTATTTGACAAAATACAACACTTGTTTTTGATAACTCTCAGCAAAGTGGGAAGAGAAAGTATATCTCAATGTGATAAAGGCCATATATGACAAACCTATAGCGAACATCATACCCAATGGGCAAAACTAAAACCATTTCACCCAAGATAGGAATATTTGCTTTCACCACTCTTATTCAACCTAGTCCTGGAAGCCCTGGTCACAGCAATCAGACAAGAAGAAGAAATGAAAGGCATCCAAATTTGAAAGGAGGAAGTAAAACTGTCATTATTAGCAGATGACATGATATTGCACATAGAAAACCCTACAGACTCCACCAAAAAAAATACTAGATTTCAATAATGTAGCAGGATAACAAATTAACACCTAGAAATGAATGGCTTTTTAAATAATATATTTTTATTAATTTCAGAGAGGGAGAGATAGAAGAATCAATGATGAGGGAGAATCATTGATTGGCTGCCTCTTGCACACCCCCTACTGGGGATAAAGCCCACAACCTGGGCATGTGCCCTGACTGGGAATTGAACCATGACCTCCTGGTTCACAGGTCAACACTCAACCACTGAGCCACACTGGATAGGCATCAGTAGCTTTTTTTATACATCAATAATTAATTCTTAGAAAGAGAAACTAAAACAATCCCATTTACCATTGCAACAAAAAAATTAAGATACTAAGAATAAACCAAGGAAGCAAAAGACTTATACTTGGAAAGATACAGGACATTGGAAAAAAGTGATAAAGGAAGATATAAACAAGTGGAAGAGTATTCCATATTCATGGGTTGGCAGAATTAACATCATTAAAATGTCCATACTACCCAAGGCAATCTACAGATTCAATGCAATCCCTATTAAAATACTGCGTATTTCACAGATCTAGAACAAATACTCCAAAAATTTATATGGTACCAAAAAGACCCTGAATATCCACAGCAATCTTGAGAAAGAACAAAATTGGAGGAATCACAATACCAGATACAAGTTATACTACAATGCCACTGTAATCAAAACAGCCTGGTACTGGCACAAGAACAGGCATATAGATCAATGAAACAGAACAGAGACGGCAAGCCATTAGGCTCAATTAATATTTGACAAAGGTGGCAAGAGCATACAATGGAGTCGACAGTCTCTTCAATAAATGGTGTTGGGAAAATTGGACAGACACATATAAAAGAATGAAACTAGACCACCAACTTATACCACATAAAAGAATAAACTCAAAATGGATAAAAGACTTAAATGTATGCAATGAAACCATAAAAATCCTACAAAAAAACCATAGGCAGCAAAATCTCAAGACATCTCTCGTAGCAATGTGGTTATGGATACATCTCCCAGGGCAAAGGAAACTAAGGAGAAAATAAACAAATGGGACTACATCAAAATAATAAGCTGCACAGAAAAAGAAACCATCAACAAAATGAAAAGGGAGC